TAATATTAATTACAATATTAGGTGCTTAAATATAGCAGAATGTGTGTATTTTGTGCCTTTCCGGGTTAATGCTGATTCTTAGGTATCAATGCGATGTATTCTACTGTTGTTTTATTGAAAGTATAAAAATCTTTATCCTTATTGAATAGTTTCAGGTCCTCCTTTCCAATATTGTATAACACTTCATCGCAAGTTTCGTAGATTCTCAATAACTGCTGTAGGCAACTCTTGGTAACGAATTTTCTTGAAAACTACATCTCATGACTTGAAAACCCTCAGCTTATATAAACGTTACCGCCTCTATACGTTTCGTTATATATTGTTCTACTAGTTACCTTCCATGACTCTCATTAGAACCACTCACTGACTGAGGGAGTTACACCCAATAAAATCTGTGTGGGACATTAATATAAGCATACAGACATATTTTATTTTATTTTTGCAATGACTGTTTGTATACTTTAATTATGTCGTACTATTGTTCTGATCTTGATTATTATAGCTATTATAGACACAACGTTTCGGCCAAATAAGGCGTCAGGCGTCCATGTTATTGTCTGATATGAGATATCTTCTGAATATTTTGTTATTTCGTCCCTATGGTGTCAATTATTATGAATTCCTGTTGAACCAGTGTTTCTCTAACTGATCCATGAATTGAACTCCTGACCACTAGATGAGAGTAACAATTAACCAATTCCTGTATCCATTAGGCTAACTTTCTCTCTGTTGTGTAATTTTGGAGCTTTTTATATTTAACTAGCAACATGACCCGGCGTTGCCCGTGCTTGATTCAAAAATCGTACGACTCATACAGCAATCCCTATCACTTGACATAAAATATTTTTGCCCTTCCTTGCCTTTACAGGAGTGCCCTTTGCCGTGCTGATGTTGCTACATGCCTTACTTCTTGCCTATCTCACACTGCGATTTTTTTCTAAGCTATACTAAACATTAAATCTGTTACGAAAAAAAGAACTAAACAAAATGAACACAAAACGATCAGCTTTAAAAAAAAGGACTCGTAACTGGAAAAACCGAATGAAAAAAGAATGTTAACAACAAATACACCCAACCCAGTTCTGCGGAATCAGAATCAACGTTGAGTTTAAGCAAGCGAATGAGCCAATTGGAGTAAAGTGCCATGCAGATTAAAATTTTTCCCACTCGTGACGAATGCAGCTATCGATTTTTTTTTTTTTTTTTGCATGCTAGCATGCTAGTTAACATTCGTGTCAGTCAGCTGTTGGCTCCCACACTGGCCAATAGAATCTTCCTGCCTATTCGTGGCAGCCAGCTATAAGCTCTCATTCTGGCCAGTAGAAAATGACCGCAAACTACATGAAAACTGCCGTAGAAGCATGAAAAAATCGATTATTTCCACTAGCGATGAAAGTTGGGAAATGCAAAGTCGGTCTTGGCCTTCCTGCTAACTTGGAGCATGTGCATGTAAATTTTGGTGCAAATCCATCGAAAATTGCGGCCGTGCATTCGTTATACACACACACACACACACACACACATCCTGTCTTTTATAGATAGAGATACAAGACAGTTTTGATATTTGTTTATCATGTCGGCTTCGTATTGCTTTTCAATATTTTTTTTATTTCATTTTTGCAATTAATAATTTTTAATATATTTTTTATTATTTTAAACAATTTTTCTCTTGATTATTAGAGATATTATGCAAGAAACAACGTTTCGACCAAGTGCAATATGGCCATCGTCGTATATCAACCCAACAGTATAATAATTGTAGTAACTATAATAGTAAATGTTTCTATTGTAGCCTGTATTAAACCGAGCACAAAGTTCTCTCCGAGGGGTAATCCTTATGATGAAAGGTATTTTTGTTTTCTGTCCGATGATTTTTGAAACTTGACATGGTAGAACTTATTTTCAGATGAATATTTCAAATATATTGTTGAACTCTTGTCTGAAATATCATATTTCACGTCGCCCCGTTTAAGTATCTAAAAGAGATTTTTACTCCATTCATAAAAAATCTATGATATTATCTTGTCAAGTTTGAAGAAGAGAGTCGCATAAAGAAAATTTCCTGAAACGCTTAAGTTCTTTTCTGGTGAAAGTGATATTTCTCTAAGTCAAACGTCTTAGGCGGGATTGATGAGAAGAATAATGCACACCGTCCAAAATCATTGCTTATTCGAACCCGCAAATGGTTAAAGGAAGTGTCGAATGAATCTATATAATTAGAGGCTTTAACTTTTTTTTTAAGTATTTCACACCAAGCAGGGCGGGAGTGCCACTAGAGAGTAGAGAACAAGAGTAAAAAGGCGTGTTGGGGAAAGGATTAAGAGAAGGACGGGTAACAAGATCAAGGCATCAAATGACCATGACTGAAAATTATAATATACTAGCAGTAGAGCCCGGGATTACCCGGGGATGTAACAGTAAGAGATAGATCAAGTATCGACCATCATAATGACTGAAAAGAGAGTAGAAAACAAGAGTAAAGAGGTGTGTTTGAGCAAAGGATTAAGAGAAGGACGGGAAACAAGATCAAGGCATCAGATGTCGATTGACATTACACTTGAATATATGAAGATTATTGTTATCAGGAAAGCATGATGAAGAAAATTCCACAGATGGGAAGTGCGGGTGAAGAAGCTGTTTGAGTAGAAGGGACGGTTACATGTAACCGTTTCAGCAGTGAAAGGGTGGGACCGAAATGAGAAACTAGTAGCTCGCTTAAATTCATGCAGCTTGGGAACCAGCAAAGGCAACTGGCTGGAACAGTTGCCGTGAAAATACTTCTAAAAGCGAGAGAGGGAAGCCACGGCACGTCTTTGATAAAGCGACTGTAAACTAAATGCCAGATCAGGATCTATCATATTGCATATCCGTCTCTGAATTTTGTCGAGGATCTCGAAACTTAGCGGGAGAACCAGCAATATGCCATGCAAGGACGGATGGTTGATTTATAGATTTGAAGGATGGACTCAGACGAGAAAAACTTTCTGGCACTCATAAAAATCATTTCTTAGGTTGGCCAGAAATTACTGGTCGCACTTAGGAAGCATAAAGATAATAAGAAAATTTTATGGAGCAGCACCAACATTTATTCTTCAAATTAAAGTCCATCATTCTCGGCGATCTTTTGTCAGCGGCCAGCCAACATTTGAATTTGTCCCAGATAACAGTCCACTGACTTTGAATAAATAAAAACTGTAAACAAGTTTCCTTCACTTCATCAAAAAGTATTGAATCGCCGGTTGCGTAGGAAGTGTGCCATTGAGCGGAATAGGCGATAGTCACTCGGGACAGCATCGGGACTGAATGGTGGATGTGGAAGAATCTCAACACCGTCCGTCTGTTTGAACTTCCCCTGAGTCGACCTGGTAGTGTTTGGCCTCTGCTTGTCTTGCTGATACAAAACCCGACCATGACTGATCAAAGCAGGATACCCCTTCTTTATTTTCTCGTACACGCGGTCTCGCTGCTGGCAATTCAGTTTAGCGTTGATGGTGCGATGGTGTGGAACAAGAAATGCAGTACTCCATGGAAATTCCACAAGACAGAGGTCAAGATTTGTTGTCTTCTTTCCGATTTCTAAGTAAGCTAGGACTTTCTGGCCAACCTAGTATATATACCTATCTCAGTCCGGATTTTTATAAATATATTAAGTCATCTTATTATCGTATCTTTGGATGTGTTTTTGGTGAAAATATGTGGAAGAATCTGAACACCGTCCATCTGTTTGAACTTCGCGTGTGGCTTAGCAGTCTTGCTGAAACAAAGCCCGACCTCGTTTGAACAAATCAGGATACCCCTTCTTTAGTTTGTCGTACACGCGGTATAGTTGCTGGAAATCCAGTTTAGCGTTGATGGTGCGAAGGTGTGGAACAAGCTCGAAATGCAGTACTCCATGGAAATTCCACAAGACAGAGATCAAGATTTGTTGTCTTCTTTCCGCTTTCTAAGTAAGCCAGGACTTTCTGACCACCCTAGTATATATATATCTATCTCAGTCCGGATTTTTATAAATATATTAAGTCATCTTTCCCGCTGACTTTGAATCAAAAACTATAATTAAGCTCTCTTAACTTCATCAAAAAGTGTTGAATAGCTGGTTACGGAGGAATTATGCAATTGAGCGGAATAGGCCATAGTCACTCGGAACAGCATTGGGATTGAATGGTGGATATGGAAAATCTCATCACCGACCGTCTGTTTGAACTTCCCCTTAGTCGACCTGGTAGTGTTTAGCCTCGCCTTGTCTTGCTGAAACAAAGCCCGACCACGATTGACCAAAGCAGGATACCACTTCTTTAGTTTGCTGGCAATGCAATTTAGCGTTGATGGTGCGACAGTGTGGAACAAGAAATGCAGAACTCCTTGGAAATTCCACCAGACAGAGATCAAGATTTCTTGTTTCCTTTCCGCTAAACACACAGATTAGCACAGTGGGTGTTGAACACAAATATGAACGTGCAGCGTCTGCAACAATGAATTCACTAGCCAACCTAACAGATAAATTACCAAAAACAAGAAATCAGGATATTTCTGGATACATACATGCCACATATTCAGAAATAAATAAACGATCCTCATCATTACAGGTGCGTTTTCATTCAAGATTGATTTTGCTGGTTGATTTTAATAGACCTATTGGAATAATTTGAAACCAAATTATAGTAGGGATTCATCTAAAATATTAATTATTTTATCCACCAGCTGTCATTTTCAGGTTGATCATTTTATTTAATTTTTACGGCTTATCAACCCTTTGCAGATTATTTAAAGCCAGAAAATATGTTTAGATTGTACAAATTTTCCTTTTTGAAGATAACAATCATATAGTGACACAAGACTTACTAATTAACCCATAGCTGGAGAGAAGTGGATTCATGCCTTTCCCAGAAGTACTTTCGCGTAAGTGAACATAACGAACTCAACCGGAATTGGTATTCGTTTATCCGATTAACAATTCCGAGTCATTATCCACTACAACACTAGTGCATCCATGCTAACAGCCCTAGGGGTCACCTATCTGGGTACTGATAAGGCTCAATGTTGCTTAACTTCAGTGATCGTACGCGAACCGGTGTTTCAATATGATGTAGCCTTAAGCACTTTAGACCAAACACACAACCAAGTTTACCTGGTATTCCCAGGCTGTCACCCATCTTGTTAGTGTTCAGGCTCAAGGTTGCTTAACTTCGTACAGGAATCGGTGTTTCAATGTGATACAGCCTAAAGCACTTTAGACCAAACTCACATCCAAGATTACCTGGTATTACATTGCGGTCACCCATCTGGGTACCGGTCAGGCTCAACGTTGCTTAACTTCGGTGATCGTATGGAAACTAGTGTTTCAGTGTGATGTGGCCTTAAGCACTTTAGACCAAACGCACATCCACGATTACCTGGTATTCCTAAGCAGTCACCTATCTAGGTACTGATCTGACTCAACGTTGCTTAACTTCAGTGATTTTACGGGAACTAGATTTTCTGGAAGAAAAAACTTCATAATGTTAAAACATTAATGAGCTGTGTAAATCGGCTCATTCCACAGATATATTGATTTAAATAAAATCGATTTTAATAGAAATTGTTTAAGGAATACGGACCTTTTTCAGGCTTTACGTCGAAACTGTGAAGGTTTCTTTTTCGTTTTCTTTGCCATTTCTTTTAAATCGGAAAAAGGCTGTTCGTAGATTTAGAAACGAACGAATGTGATTTTCTTCTGTAAACACCAAATGTGCTTTCTTTTCCTTTTCTTTATTTTTTTTTCCACTTGAAAAGGAAAAGATATTATAAATGACTTTTCGTCAAAAACTAAATAAAAGAAAGAAAAATAATCCTTAGGTCCTTGTTTGTTTATGCAACGCTGATATCTTTTTTATTATATATGCGGTGCTTTGGCACAAAGCTGTGCATTTGATAAAATATACAGAGCACAAGAATTGGAATAAGCATTTCAATATTTATGAATAATATAAGCTCATATTTCTAAATATGTGAAAATATATAGACATACATCACATTATTTATATGTACACACGAATCTGACTAAAAAACACCTTTGCTTTATGTTATTCTCTACGTATGTTCGTCTGTGTGCAGTTATGTGTAGCGATGGATGTGGAGGTGGGTTTTTTTTATTATTATTTTCTTTAAGATTTGAATACTCGATTTCAGATATGCTATCACCAAAAAAAAAAAAAAGAAGATTATTATAGCCTTCCTACAGAAACTAATAAAGAGAGAAAAAATACCATTAATGTTGAAATAAAAAAAAAAATAATAATTGAAAAACAAAAGGTGAGGAGAAAATGGAAATATAAAGTAAATACTTTACAAACAAATTATATTTCTGGGTTGAAATCTAGTGGAACTGAGAGAATAATAAAAAAAAAGAACTTGTCTATTTTCAATTATGCACACCCTGTGACCCGTGATATTGCAGTATTAAAAGAAAAATGCTATTGGTATATATATATATATATATATATATATATATATATATATATATATATATATATATATATATAAACATATACGTCCATATATATATATATATATATGTGTATATAAAAACATTTATATATAAACGTATATTTATAAACATATTCGTACACACACACATACACACATATATATATATATATATATAAAAATATACGTACATATATATATATATATATATATATATATATATATATGTATATAAAACATTTATATATAAACGTATATATATAAACATATTCGTACACAAACACACACAGTCACACACACACACACATACATATATATATATATATATATATATATATATATATATATATATATATATACCTGGACAAGATAAACCTAGTCTGTCTGTAAAAACAGTTTTATTGTACAAATTCACGCACACATACACACACGCACACACATATGTATATATATATAATCATATATTTATATATACTTTCATACACAGAAACACATACGCACACAAGTATACACATTCACACATACACACACACATATATGTGTGTGTGTGTATGTATGTATTTATTTATATAAGCGTAACACAGAAATATAGAAATGCATGCGCATTTATTTAGAATTCTTGACGATAGATGACATGTCTAAATTTATTAGTTTTATTCAGAATTTTGCTGGTTATTTTCACGAAAATAGTTAATAAATCTCCATTTTTCAAAACATTTTTGTTAATCTTAACCTGCATAGGTGCGTATGTGTTTATAGGTACGTGCACGCGTAGGTGAGTCTGAGCAAACTGCTTTTTATCATGACTCATTTATAAATAAAGCCAATATAAGTATTAGCCTCTATTTTAGCTGAAGCAGTTGCATATTCTTTTACGCCGACAATGTTGGACATTTGAGCAAATATTGAGGATGTTGAATAATTAAACAAGTAGTTCCTCTTCCTCGATGATCGACCTTTTTGCTTTCCTCATTTTAGAATTCAATGATCATTTTCCACGTTGATCGACTCAGTATAGCCTTTCTGCTTTCCTCATTTTATATCCTGACATACAAAGCTAAGCTCAATGAATATAAGGAATAAAAAAAACTCTCAATATAATTGGTTCCCTAACTTAACACGTCCCTGCGGATCTTCTACTGTTTACTGCATCATTGACTCACTCCATTCTTGGTGGTTATGGTATAGGGCCTAAGTTTCGGCAAATCTCCTCTCTTTCCGATCACTCTATTTACAAAATATATTATAATTTTCAATCATGGTCACTGATCTAATAATCATGGTGACGCTGACCTCCTGAATGTATCAGATTCTATTTCTAGGTCATGTCCTATAGCCCTTTTTTTCTACAAAGATCGACTCATTGATGCTGTCTGTCGAATTCTTTTTTCTGTCTGTTTCGTCCTCTTTTCCATTGCAATGTTTCCTGAAGGATATTTTTTGGAGAGGGCGTCGGATTTTCACACGTGACTTTTTTTTTTATTGTGGTCACAATGTTTTCATACCAACCAGTTAAAGAAATGGCTTTTGTTCTCTGTTCATATCTATCTATCTATCTATCTATCTATCTATCTATCTCAGTCTGTTCATATCTATCTATCTATCTATCTATCTATCTATCTATCTATCTATCTATCTCAGTCTGTTCATATCTATCTATCTATCTATCTATCTATCTATCTATCTATCTATCTATCTCAGTCTGTTCATATCTATCTATCTATCTATCTATCTATCTATCTATCTATCTATCTATCTCAGTATGTTCATATCTATCTATCTATCTATCTCAGTCTGTTCATATCTATCTATCTATCTATCTATCTATCTATCTATCTCTGTTCATATTTATCTATCTATCTATCTATCTATCTATCTCAGTCTGTTCATATTTATCTCTCTATCTATCTATCTATCTATCTATCTATCTATCTATCTGTCTCAGTCTGTTCATATCTATCTATCTATCTATCTATCTATCTTAGTATGTGCTTTCTTTCTATGTATCTATGTGTTTGAGGACATTCATTATTTCTGAGGGTATTCATTATATCTATCTATCTATCTATCTATCTATCTATCTATCTATCTATCTATCTATCTCTGTTCATATCTATCTATCTATCTATCTATCTATCTATCTCAGTCTGTTCATATTTATCTATCTATCTATATTAGTATGTTCTTTCTTTCTGTCTATGTATCTATGTGTTTGAGGACATTCATTATATCTGAGGGCATTCATTATATCTATCTATCTGTGAGTATTCATCATACCTATCTATTAATCTATTTATATGTACACACACACACACATATCTATCTATATATATTGACTGAGATAGACTGATATATATATATATATATTTATATATATATATATATATATATATATATATATATATATATATGAATGATCAAAAGCAGAGTCCTTGAAATCCATTTAGGTGATAACTTTTTTGATGTGATGCGGAGACCATCTCTTCAGACTAAAATTTTACAAAAATAAATAGAGTTTATATTTACCCAGACACATGAAAAAAAGAAAAAAGAAAAAAAGAGCGGAAGGGAGAGAAAAGAGAAAAGGAAATTTAAAAAAAAAAAAAAATAAGTGGGGAAAGACAGAGATTTAAAAATAAGGGTTTGGGGGGGGCGTTCTTAAGGGTGGAGAGAAAGATAAATAAACATAGAGAGGGGAAGAGAGTAAGAGAAGAGAAAGAAAAGTGTTAAGGAGTCGACGGAGTTTGACCTAGAACATATTTCATCTTCCCTGAACATGACAAGTAAAAAAAAAAAAAAGAGTGATCATATTCAAAAGAGATACATTGATGTGTCTATTCATGTCAAACAGCGGAACATTGTCATCGCATTTTAACCGTTATAATTAAAATAAAAAAAAAAAAAACATGAAACAAGACGGCAGGGCCAGACGGAATTGTAACTTTGCTTATCCTCCCAATTTCTGGTCTGGTAGCGTTTATGATCCTCGTAGAAAATTTGGTCTCAAACTTTGGTTTATGATCATAAGACATATGATTCTTTAGTACAGAGCTTACTAACGCTATCGCTAATTTTAAGTAATATTTCTAGAAGCAGTGTTAATTCTTTCAACACAATATTATTAATACCTGTCATATTATAACTTTTAGTTTCTGATAAATGCGTTGTAATTCTTGAGATGAAATTTGTAAAAATTAGTAGTTTTATCGGATTTAACAAATATTTGGTTAGATTTATTAATATCCTTAACTATACAATCTAAATGCCTCTGAAACTGATTCCTATTTTTATGAAAAGTGCGAAGTGCCTGGCTTAAATAGAGACAGTTAATATAACGTTGACTTATATTTTAAAATAGTAACATCCCAAGACAGGTTGAAAATGAATCACAAAATTAAAGACACGAGTTTATATATATATATATATATATATATATATATATATATATATATATATATATATATATATATATATATATATATATATAAACTGCGTCTAGAGATTATATGCAAAAGAGGTATTGTCTAATATTGTATGTAAAATTCCTAGATATGTGTTATCCAATAAAATAATTTGTACTATTATGTATAGCGAGTAAGCATGAAAGCAATTAAGTCCCAATTTTCAATTTCAGATTGATATTTAGTATTTTTTCAGTAATTATAGCAATTTGCAGTGTCAAGAGATTATTTGCAAGAACTAGAATTTAGTATTATGGCTCGTAAAAAGAACTAACAATGAATGAAAAGAATTATATAATCAAAGAAATTAGCAAAGGAAAGTCTTCGCTTCAAATTTCTAAGGATTTGAAAAGGGATCATTGAACAATCAAGAAAATATGTCAAATGGGAATTCAACCAAGGAAGAAAAAGTCTCAGGCTGAATTCAGGAA